CCCCAAAACCCCAAAACCCCTTAATGGAAAATTTGTAGCTTATCCAGGAGCTAAGAACTAACTAAGCATATAAAATTAACAGAATTAATCATTTAATTAATGGAAATTAATTACTAATATAGAATTAAGTTCTTAAAAGTTCTAGGTCATCAAATATAACAAATTAATAATGAGAAGCACTATATATAAAAATGGATATGATTCAAAACAACAAAAATTGATAAGATTTATAAGATCTCAAGATAACTTTGGCCATGCAATAACTCTCAACTACTAATTAAGTTCTACATTTAAGACTACATTCGGAGGAATGATTACAATTACATTTAAAATAGGCATTCTAATCTACCTCATATTTGAGCTAATGAAGGTGGTTGAGAAAAAATAAACAGTAACAAATTCAACTATAAAGAAAAATCTATTTGTCGACACATGAACATATACAATTAATGAATAAGACTTTGATGTTGGATTTACATTTGCTGGTATATCCCAATAGCAGTTATTGAACTTAGATAGTTATGTCAACATGACCTTTCAATAAGTAGATTATGTCTTGAATCCTGATGGGAAATCTAATACTCTTTATATGAGGTAGTATGAGATGGGTAAGTGTGATAAGAATAGGTTCAAAGGTGAAACATTTCAAGCTTAAAGTTTGGGAATACCACAAAGCTATAAATGCCCAGTCAACTTTAGTGCCTCATTTCAAGGGAGTTATACTACAAAATAAATGCAGTTCTTAAGTTTGAGGATAGCAAAATGCAATCAAACGAATCTTAGCAGAAAAGATTAATCTGCTTGATGTGCGAACGATAGTATGATGAGAAGTTTCTTCAACAAATTACAAATCAATTTGGTAGCAACTAATTAATTTGTAGATATCAATGAGAAATTTGAAAGCCCTATTAAAACAGTTCTTAAAAATGTTTTTGCAACAGGCTACCATAATATGAGCATTTAATATCAGCTGAGAGTTGGCTAAAATTTTCTAACTACTTCTACATCATCTTTATCAAATTAAATAAGCTAACTAAATCAAACATACTACACAATAAGGGATGGTGATATAACGATAGCAGCTTAAGAGATAAACTCCGAGCAACTTTTTCTTACTCTAAATTTGATGATTGACGATAATGTAATGACAACTAATCTTGAATTTTATACAATTTCAGATGCTCTTTCAAATACAGGAGGGATTATTGGAATCATAACAATCATTATATAATTTCTTGTTAAGAAAACTTAAGAGAATCTCTACTATTAATAATTAGTTCAAGATTTATTTCTAATAAATAAGCAAGATTCTATTACTTAACATGAGAAAAGTGGAAAAAGAGGTATTAAACTCAATACTAATATAAATCAGTCTTAATAAGATATAAATGAAGACTAAATAAAAAATTAGTTATTTGGTAGCTATAAAAAACTTTTGAATGGTATAAAAGCCTGATAAATATTTAAATACTCTTAGATTGAATTTATGTTAGAATAAATTAAATGCTGTAAGAAAAATAAACCTTCAGATATGAAATCTTAAAGATATTTGCTATTTAAATAGGCAATGAATAAATTAAACAAGAAATTTGAGATAGTTTAGCTTTTAAAAACTCAGGTGCTAGTAAAACTAATTAAAAAAATAACTTTATCAAAGTATCAAAGAGAACTCATTCCATTTTTCAAGCAAAAAGTTCTCAAGCTAAATAGGGACAAAGACTAATTAACAAAAGTGACAGAAATGCCCATAAATATCAGGAATTTTGAAGTGGAAAGGAACTAGATTAATTCAACATGGGATAAGATGAGTAAATATCAAAGAAGGCAAGTTAAATTAAATTTGGCTCTAACTCTTAAAAACAAAGAGGAAAACCAGATAGTCAAAAGAATATATAAGAATCTCGATGATGAATATCAAACTAAACCGAGTGTTATATTAGATTCTGGAATTGTTCAAGAAAGTATTTTCAAAACATTAAATAAGGAAATTAAAGTTTAAGTTAAATCTAATAATCACTCTAAAAAACTCATACTTGCGTAATTAATGATACAAGGTAATTAAATTGATAAGATAAACGATCAAAATAAAGGGATTAATGTTAAAACTGGGTCTGAAATTTAAAATGTGGATGCTGAGCAATTTTAAATGAGTTATACAGATGAGCAGGATTTATAAAATTTATCTCTAGATGATATTATTCAAAAGGAATTTTAGTATTGAAAAAATAAGTTTGGCTTGTGAAATAATTTTTGCTTTCTCTTTTTATTTTCTAAAACGTTTAAATAGAATTTATAGATATTGCGGGGTTTTGGGGTTTTGGGGTTTTGGGG